ACTATTCTCCAGCCAACATTATATCAAGTAAACAGGAAGTTGCCACTACAACTATTCTAGCTAAGGTAATTTATATAATATTTTTCTTTAAATTAAAAACAATATTACATTTATTTTATTTATTACAGCCGATAGATCATATTGATGGACCAACGCCGCTCGATAGCCAACAACAGTCGTTCGATGAAAATGACGGACCAAGTTTTTACGATCAATACTATTCACAGTCTCAATTCAATACCCCCTTACCATCCGATCGAGCAACTTACGCTATCCACCCCACGCCGTCACGTAAAGTAAAACGTCCAAGGTCTAAAAGTTATTCGCCATTACCTACTCAACATACATTTAATCATGCGGAATATGATTTATCTAAGGTAATTTATATAATATTTTTAATAAAAACAATTTTATAATTTTATATTTATTTTTCCAGCCGATAGATCATATTGATGGACCAACGCCGCTCGATAGCCAACAACAGTCGTTCGATGAAAATGACGGACCAAGTTTTTACGATCAATTCCATTCACAGTCTCAATTCAAGACACCACAGTCATCTCAACCAACTTGTGTTGAACCCCATGCACCGTTGCGTAAAGTAAAACGTAGACTATTTTAATATTTGGAAATATAAAATGTATGTGAAATAAAAAAAAAGACGTGATATATAAAAAAAAGTTTTTTCATTTATTAATATTAAGGTTTATAATAAATATTAAGGTTTACAATAAAATATTAAGGTTTACAATAAAATATTAAGGTTTACAATAAAATATTAAGGTTTACAAAAAGTATTTACAATAAATATTTACAAGGTTCTTACTTCTCCGTTAAATGGATTATAAGTAATAATTTGGTCATGTAATATTAAACAATATGCGGAAGTGGAAGCTGGAAACGCCTCATCAGCTTCTAGTTCAATTCTGAGGTCAACAGTTGACATTTTCACGTTGTCGTTCTGTCGGCTCATGTCAACAACTATGATTGGAGAGTGATTTTTGAACTCTGTTCGGTTCAATAGAGGTGTTACATCATCGAGTCCATAGTAAGATTTTTGGAACTCGGCATACGCGCGGTATAATGTCGCCATCTTATTCTTGTTAAAGTCACTTTGAAAATCTTCATATGGAAATACTTCGGAGTTTAAATAGACTTTCAAGTTTTTAATTTTACAATGATCGAAATATGACATTGCTTTACTTGAGCTATTTTTCCTGTCAGTTTGAAATCCGATTATAACATATCGAGGTTTTTCTAACTTGTTGGATGTCTTTACTTTCCACGAATGTGAAGTGTTTTGAGGTAAAAATGGATATTCACAAAGTTCCCACGATCTAAACGCACACGTTAGGGGTTTTTGACTGTTAACTACTTTCAACAGTCGAATTTTTTCTCTATCGCTAACTCTCACTATAGGCATCCGCCACAATATTTTTGTTATGTTTATTTTAGCGTCTTTTAGTTTAGGAGCGTCTACGACAGCTTCATTATTTTTATACTGTTTGATGGCATTCATATCAATCGAAGCTCTATTTAATATGAGTTGCTGGCTACAGTTTATTAAAATGCGCTTATAATCTTCGCAAAAACCAAACAAATGTTTAAGATTAATACATCCGTTAAAATTACCACTATCAATAAAATCTTTATTAACATTTTTAAAATCACTATCCCAGGCAGCGTTTTGGTGTGAGGAAATATTTGTTTTATTGTACGAGCAATATCCTTTTAATGTGGTCGATATACCCGGATTGACGAGTTTCTGAATTTGATTTCCGTTTATTTCATATTTCATTTCGGAGAAAAGAAATGCCAGTCCGTTGTTTATAAATCTAATCTCGTCAGTTATTTCTGTAGGTTTGGTTATTGTTCCCTCGATGTAAATATAACTCTCGCACGGTAAAGTATAAGACTCTGTGTTATGTAAAGCAATACGCACCTCATCATTATTAGAAAGAGCTGATGTTGAATACGGTAAAAAAGAATGATAATCAATTTGTGTTATTTTACAATCGTCGATGTAACCAGCCGTGACGTCTAAATATGTGTCGTCCATATTAAATGACGTTAATCGAGCGTAGAAAAGCCAAATTATCAGGTGTTAGACTATGTTTAGTCTGTTTTCGTCTCAAATATTTTTTCTTCTTCGGAGTTGTTACCTTGTTAGTGTTTTTAACACGACTAACGGGTTTTTCATATACAGCCCTATTTATATTGTAAAATTGAAGTCCCATCACGAGTCTTGAATTAATAATCGTATTGATACCGGTTCGCCCCGTAGATCGATCAACTCGTCGTTCTGATTTTTTAAAATTATACTTGCGTGTGTTATAGATGTAGAATTAATAGAGTAAAAAACCAAATGTGTTGGTACCTCTATTATTTTATAGCCTGGAGGAACATTCGGATAGAACTCGTGGATTGTATGGCACTGCTTACCGTTGACGAATGAACCCATAACTAGATTTGAATCGATATATATACAGTTTGTTTTGGTAATATTGACCAACGTATCTGATTCGTGTTTGACATTAGCAGCATATTTACGATTTTTGAACCCCAACAACTGTCCTATACTATTAGTCATACGAAAATCTACAGTTTCACTACAAAACATTGTACATTTTAGTGTATTATTATCTGCTGTCAACTCGAATAAAGTATCTGTATTATGCAATACACGTTTTATAGCTGCTTCAATTTCATTCAACTCATAAGAGCCGGTAGGTATTACATAGCTGTCGCTATTCATATTGTTATCATTACTGTATGTGAAACATATTTTATTACACTTTTCGTTTACGTTAGGAATAGAATTATTCGTTTGAAAACCTAACAGGCAGATTTTTGCATTTTTACTGACTTCTATCGGCGGAAAAAAGTCACATGACAAGTCGCTAGAGTTACCGGTTAACGTTATAGTGTACATGATAAAAATTTTAAGCACAGATGACCACAGTTTGTTGTATTATATTTCTGATGTCTCTCGTAGTTATATTCGATATTGCAACCGTTGAAATACTTCTGTAATTCTAGCGGTGGCGTTAAATTTCCATAACTATCATAATATTTAACTTTTTTTCCGATTTTCTTATACGCTACCCAATGAGTACCTATACCGTTTTCGATGTCTAAATTAACTACAGCTGACTCTTGATGTTTTGCTCGTCGAGGCAACTTGTCTCTAGCAAATACACCGATGAAATGAGGAATTTTCAACATGTCAGCGTATTTTATAATCTCATAATCGTACAACGCTCTATCGGGTAACGTAGAAATCAGTTTTTTGACCTTGATTTCTTAACCGAACCGCCCTTGTGTGGTGCTAGGTATAAACCTTTACCTTTTACGATTTTATAAGAACTACCCTTGTGAGGAGTAAGATATAATCCTTTGCCTAAATGAATAGGAGTGCTTTTTCCAGAATTTAATTCTTTCACGACTTTTACTATATTACCTACTCCACCGGTAAGCGCGCCTAATGCTGATAAACCAGCAAAAATAGGAATTAAAGGTAGAACACCACCTTTTTTCGGTATTGGTATAATTCTTGGTGTTTTAGTTTTCTTATTTTTATTCTTTTTAATTTTTTTCGCAGCTGACAGACATGTTCTTACTAATTTTGTTATATTATTTTCGTTCATTTTATTTTTGATGGAATTTTTAGCAGCCAAAACCATTTGTTTAAATCCGCAACCAGCTCCAAGCTTACGTTTGACTTTCATGGCTGTAGTGACTAGCCAAGACGCCGCTTTTTCCTTGATACCTGTGTTTTTAGATTTAAACACTTCCCAAGCCTGATTTTCTAATACTTCGTCTGCTCTATGTCGATCAGTTAGCGAATTACTTTCTTCGTATGCGATATCGTGCGCTCTGGCCAACTCGTCAAGTCTGTTTATACCACGTTCTCCTCGCGCTAATCTTTGCTTCAATTTGGTTCCGGGACCGGCAAATCTATAAACAATTATTCATACAATTTAAAACGGATTTATTAGTCATAATATATTGTAGCGACTTACCTATAAACAGGTAAATGTAATTCCACGGGTAAATGATTTATAACAGAGTTAATAAGACCGGAGCCTTTATTGTTGTTTCGCTTACGAACGTGAGACATCGTGTGACGCTATCGCTAACATAGCGCCTATATTTATAGTGAAAAAAAAAAATGCGCTTTATCGAACAAGCGAAAAAACTTAGAATTTATAATATTGATTCTCCCGAGACAATTCAACAGAGACATGGAGAGCTTTTCCCAAATACGATAAGGTCGTTGGTACTTGGCAGCTCGGGATGTGGTAAGACCAATCTGATGTATTTTCTACTAGTCGATGAAAATGGGTTACGATTTGAAAACGTTTACATATACTCCAAGACGCTGGAACAACCTAAATATAAATTATTAAAACGTATTATAGATGGAATAGACGGTATGAACATTTTTACCTTTTTCGAGAATGATAAAGTAATTCCACCAGAGAAAGTTTTACCAAATTCAATTTTTATCTTGGACGATGTTATTGGTGAACACCAAAACGTTATAAGAGATTATTTTTCTCGAGGTCGTCACAATAAAATAGATATATTTTATCTGGCCCAGAGTTATTCAAAAGTACCAAAACAGTTGATACGTGACAACGCGAATTTAATAGTATTATTCAAACAGGATGAAACAAATTTAAAACATGTATATCAAGAGCACTGTTCGGGTGATATGTCATATACACAATTTAAACATTTTTGTGTAACATGTTGGAACCGTGAGAGGTTTACATTTGTCGTTATTTGCAAAGATAGTGAGCGTGATAACGGACGTTATCGTTTTGGGTTTGATACTTTTGTAGTTATATAAGACGCTACAAATAATAAATATTATCATTTAAAACGTAGTCATGACGGAAGCAACTACTGTGTTAGATGAGTTAGTTAAAGCTAAGGAAAGTATTAAACGTAAATATATCGCATTAAAAACCGGTTCTGATAATGTTCAACAATTAATGACACAGACATTAAAACCAATTATCGATCCTTTAACTAAAATATCGAATAAACCTCGATTGAACAAAGAAAATACTGACAATAAAAACTCGATTTTGGACTACAATCAACAAGAAATTGAAAATTGGTTTCAGTCTACAGACTTGGATAAAATCTATGGTCCGAAAAAACTTCCAAACGGCCATATTATCTTGGGTAAAAAAGAAGTAAAATTCTTAGAAAACACTTTACTTATCGACAGTAATGTTTATACCTTAACCTCGGGTCTTATACAGTTATTATTTTTAAAAAATCCACTTATTTTTACTGATAGCGATTTAGAGGTATATAAATCTATATTAACTCAAACATCAGTACATTTATCTACAGTTGGAAATAAAATAAAAAAGGGTGGTACTAAATACTCAACAATTATTAGTAAATTATTCCCCTCGGGTGGCGAGCTGTCTATGAAATTACAGAAAAATAACTTAGTGTATTGGGACAATCCAAACGAGTTGGTCGACCGGTTACGTCTACTTCTCGCGTCAAAAGCAGCTGGCAATACAAGCGTTTCAAACGAAATAATTTCGATTTTCGACGAATTACACGAAGCCGGACTAATAAAGCGAATTCCCGATGTCTAAACGGGAAATCGCTAACGAACTTCACAAACCAGCAAGGAAAAATTTCACTAGGCGTCGAGTTATCGTCTATGGAAAAAATGATTTATGGCAAGCCGATTTGGTTGAAATGATACCATATTCAAAAGTAAATGGTGGTTACAAATACATCCTGGTTGTGATTGATTGTTTTACAAAATTTTCTTGGGCGAAACCGTTAAAGTCTAAGACAGGTAAAGAAGTTACTAGTGCAATGTCAAAAATATTACTCGATCGTTCACCGAAACTTTTACAACTCGATAACGGAAAAGAATTTTACAACACTACTTTCGACGCTTTGATGACCAAGTATGGCATACACAAATATTCAACTTTCAGTATTCTAAAGGCCAGCATAGCAGAGAGGTTCAATCGTACTTTGAAGGGAAAAATGTATAAGGAGTTCACTGCCCGTGGCTCTCACGAATGGGTTTCAATTTTACCAAAGTTACTTGACGAATACAATAATTCATACCATAGAACTATAGGAATGACCCCATTACAAGCAGATTCCAACCCCGCTTCGGTGGTAATAAAACATCGTGAAATTAATACTGTAAAAAATAAGTTTAAAGTTGGCGATAACGTTCGTATCAGTACACAAAAGGGCGTGTTCACAAAAGGTTATTTACCAAACTGGTCTACGGAAATATTCGAGATTATCAAAATAAATAAAACATTACCCGTTACTTATCAACTACAAGATTATATGGGTAAACCTATAGCTGGTTGTTTTTACTCTGAAGAAATATACAAGACCAATTTCCCAAACGAATATTTAATTGAAAAAATTATACGTAAAAAACAGAATCAAATGTACGTCAAGTGGTTGGGATTTGATAATACGCATAATAGTTGGATAAATAGAAGCGATGTGAAAAAATAGTGTCAGTCGTTTTATAACTATGAACGTGTTCGGTAGTTCTCAGGCTAGTGAAACTAAAAGAATTATAACAGATATTCAATCAAGTAACAAAACAATTATAAATGATGTGAAACTTCAACAAAAAGAAATTGATACTCTGAAAAGTAATATTGTTAATCTACTTGATAAGATACAATTGCTTGAAAATAATGTACAAACAAGTAATAAGACTTTATTACATTTTGAAAATCGTATGTCGCAGCTATTTAATGACTGTGCTGACAATAGTACAGCGATCGCTATCCATGGACTTGACGTGCTCCAATTAAAAGCTGAAATAAATCGTATAACCGGAATATTTGATGAAAATTCATTGCCGAATCACGGAACATATATTTCAGAATTAAATTCACGTTTGATAATCCTGGAAGGCAAAAATATTACGAAAACTTGATTTTACACAAAATAAAATAGTTGGTTAGTCATGCGGTATTGAAAAATAAATTCAGTCGAGCTGTATACACCATCGTGTTTGGTAGTCTTTTGCCAGATATATAAACCTGAAATTATGTCGTCGGCCATCGCAGACATGCAGTGCGTTCTTGGAGCAGGCAATAAATATTTTATTAAAGAATTATCTATAGTCGACACTGAAACATGGGCCAACCAACACTGGATTTTTAAAAATTCTAAATCTAAACAGGACAACAAGAGTCGAAAAACTAATAAGTGGTTGGAACATAACTATCATAAACTTGCTATAGAATATGGTGATGTTGAGTATGAAGAACTAAGTAGAATATTGAACTCTTTGAAGTTCTCATGCATTTACGTCAAAGGTGAGCAGAAAAAACAACTTCTTACAGAATTTATACCTCAAGTCGCACTAATCAACATCGAAGACCTTGGATGCCCACGTTTGGACCAAATATGTGATGATGAAACTCTACCTTGCTGTATTTTTCATATGGAATTTAATCCAAAACAATGTACATTCTATAAAGTATTTGCTATAAGGAAATGGTTTATAAATAATTCTTAAAAATATGATTGTATACATTTTATTTAATAAACATAATTATATTTTAACATTGTTTTTTTTTTATTTATATGTTAACATATTTATGTTAGCATTTACAAGGTTTTTTAATTATACTAATATTGGCTTCCATCCACCTGAAACAGAAAAACATGATTATAAACATGAAAAAACTTAAATATCTACCAGTTATACATTATAAACATAAAAAAACTTAAATATCTACCAATTATACATGAAAAAACTTAAATATCTAACAATTGCACATTATAAACATGAAAAACTATAAGTTTATACCCTAATCTAACTTAAAACTAATAAAACATACATATTATTTACAATAATTTCAATTTTATGTGATGCGTTTACAAAAATATATACATGAAATATACTAATCTAACTTAAAACTAATAAAACATACATATTATTTACAATAATTTCAATTGAATGTGTTGCATTTACAAAAGTATATACATTAATCTATCTCAAGTATAATTATATAACATGATAATATTTACAATATATATATAACAAACTATATAACATGATAATATTTACAATAAGACTAATTAACAGAAAAAAAATATACAATATATGAAATCAGGCTATGTAATGTAGAAGGTCTCTCATTAGTCCTTTCTCTTCCTCGTTCCAGTTCCCTCCATCTTCCTCAAGTTCTGGCCATATATCATCTCCTCTGTAAAATTAAGAGAAAATGTTAGTAAAATAATTTAAATATATATATTTTGTAATAACTTACTCTATACTATAATGACCATGGGCTAGTGTGTGGACTTTATCTTCTAGTACCACCCTCTTGTCATCATAACTGTTGTATGTCAATTTCTTAGTTTTTAGCGTTACAAGTTGGTGGTTAAACGACCTAATTGAAACATTATCTGTGTATAACTCTACTCCTTCTTCCCCAAACAAACACTTCCTATGATCTTCCAATGTCATGTGGTTTTTAACCACATGAGACCTGATACCCTTCGCTTTAATTTTCTCTCCTCCTCCTACTCTGTCTTCTGGTCCAGCATATATGTTGAAAGCATATGATTTTGCCCTCAGCGCACAAAATTCTGTTATAATATTAGCATCCACCTCATCGGAGAAGAACCCCGGGTTCTTCTTTCTGCTTGCCACATAACACGGATGGTCAGTGGGTAAGTTAGCGGTGTCCATCCGGTCCAACAAGCTACTGTTAGCCGCTAAGTCTACATAAAAATCATCCGTCTGAATATGATAAACTAGTGAATCTGGAAAAATAATGATATTAATATATTATATACATGAGTATTATAGTTTTAATATATTTACCTGTATCAGTGTACATAAGTTTAATATTATCACCATAATGTGTCTGCATCACATTGTAGTGGTAATCGTACATTAGCGTTTTTGATACATCCAGTACAGCGAATCCTGTAAATAATAAAATGTGTTAATAAATGTATGATAAAAATTTAAAAATATATTTACCAATATATATAGGTTTGTCAAATTTAATAATTTTATTTTCCAATGCTACAGCGTTAAGGTCCTCATTATAATTTGTACAGTGTTTGAATGTGCTCTTATTTATTAGTTTCTGTAACCTTCTTTCGCATGACACTAACTCCATCTTCATCTCCTTCCTCTTCGATTGCATTGTTTTACCTGTAAAAATAAAAAAAATGTTAGTAAACATTTTTAATTAGTATAAATAAAGTGACATACCAAATACAGCGTTGTTCATCAGCTTAAAAAAGTCCTTTTCAAAATCATTCCTCGCCTTCTTCCTCATCTCGGTGTTCAATTTAATATATTTAGCCAGCCAATCCGACTGGTTAAATTGTATCACTCTATGTACCTGTAAGAAAAAATGTTAAAAAATCTGTTTTAAAATCTTATAAAATATAAATATTTACTTTTTCAACTATTAATCCATTTTTAATCGCTTGCTGTAGATTACGGTAGTGAACAATATAATTTTTTTTCTCCTCGAACGTTCCCATCAACTTTCTGACCTTCGATCCACGTGGCACACTATTTTGTGGCAGGAAGGGGAGGTCATTATGCCTGTCGTGTAAATTTTGTGGGTATGATACATCCACCTCATACACTCGCCCTATGGGGGAGGTATCGTCCAAATCATCCAATCCGTTTAACGTAGGTTCAACCCAGTTGAACCCACCGTACGGCATGTACTGCGACATAGCCCATCCGTACAAGTTGTTACCTATAAAAAATAATAAGTATGATATATAATAATACGTTTTGAAAAAATATACTTACAGTCCTGATAAATAATCCACGATTTCTCCTTAGTGTCATCGTAGCCCGGGGTCTTGTTATTATTCGCCTTTGCGTACCGTTTGCTCGCCTGCACCAATCCACCGCGTATACCTATAAAAATATATAAGATTATTATATGTACATTTTTAAAAATAATATATATATATATATATATATATACTAACCATTCTCGAACATCAGCAACATGTCGTAATCGTGTAATAACTGTAACTTTTGCCCCGTGAACTTAAGCATTGCATCAAAACTTAAGCCGGGGGCTGTAAAATAATGTGCGGCGTCCAAGTTGTACGTCCTCATGCATACATCACGAAAGTTCTCAAAAACGTCCGCCAGCAGTAACACGTCAATTTTCAAGTAAAGATCACTATAATCCCCGAGCGTCTCACAATCAAAGTGGTCCCAGACCTCCTTCGCGTGCTCAAACTCCTTCTCCTTAATCCCGGTCTCTGTCAATGTACTATAAAAATCTCGCTTACTCGGTAATCTCGTCTCCTCCAACCGCTCCCAACTATCCGTGTACTCGTACGGGTACACCCCCTTACGAGTCACGAGCGGCATATCTCCGGCGACAAAATGTTTGGCTGTCTCACGGAAGTTGTCATGTTCAGGTGTAATTAAATTTTCGGCCAGGGACGATAAACTCGACGCCATAAACCTGAACGTGTCGATAAACCGAACAGTGAAGGTACTACTTATATGTTTCGTAAAAGATATAAATTTCTCCTCACTGTTCGGAATAACGTTGATAGTCTGAGTATCATAACCAAGTTCAGTGATTATGAAGTGCGAGTCGTAGTTTGTGAGATTATGAAAAAAGACAGGGACAAATTTAGGTTGTTGTAACTCTAAGTTACATCTAGAGCACAAGGTCTGCCTAAATTCGCCCGTTAAATGATCATGATCCCTAACCTTATCGCCCCCGACTAATATGCATTTGCATAAGTTACACTCTATACACTCTTGATGTGTTTTTTCTTCGTCCTCGCTTATGATTATGGGGGTATTCGTCTTCATCAGATTTTCGATTTTCAGGGACACATCAACAATCGACTCCACAAAATGTTTCGCCACATCCGTCCTGTCTTCGCTGCCTCTATAGATTACCGGCCCCGCCGGTATCTCGTACTCCGCCAATAATTCCACCGGTACGTCATCGCTCGCCTTCACCAAAAACCCGTAGCTCATAGCTTCGTGTTTCTGCGTAACTGTGGTACTATCACCCCTCTTTTCCTCCGTCTTCACCAACAATGACTCAAAATCTGCGTATATTACAAACGGATGCCTAACCGTTTTTTTCCAAGCCCTGAACTCAACACAATCACCCTCCTTCGGCATCTCGGGTAAAATTGGTTTGTGCGCCTCGCAAATCAATTTGTGTTGGTCCAGGGCCTCCTGTCCGCTCAGCTTGTATTTACAATTTTGACTGTCGAATGACGTGAAGCACCTTTTACAAAAAATGACACCCCCATTGTGTCTCGTTTTCTGCGCACGTACGAGCCGCGAAAAATTTGAGATATATATATAATGCGATGTGTCTCCGTCCGTCACCAACAACAAGTCAAAATGGTCTGATTTCTCCTCGTCGATCACACGTAACGGATACACCTCGTACGTCGGATATTTACGCGGTGGCTGGAACTTTTTCTCTACTCCATAGACGTTAATGGACACGTTGATATTATTTTTTTCGAATTTGGAGATATCCGATAAAGGTGTAGGGAACGAAATACCGTCAAAATTATATTTCCCCTCGTGTTTTTTATAATTTTCTCCGATACGAAATGCCGACGGCCCAGTCACATGTCTCGCCAATATTGCCCACTTAAAGCACTGCTGGTCCGTATTTTGTGGGTTTATCGTAGCCCGCTTCCTATCGATATACGCCGGTAATTCAATATATGACGACCCAGTCAATGGTGTGTAATTGTATATTCCTAATAATAAGCCGTCTATTGTCTCCAGAGTAAATCCACTACCGCGCGACTTATACTCCTCCTCCTCCTTCAACAACTTTATATACGCCCTCTCAATGATCGTACTAATGTCACTATCTGAGAAAATTTCTACTGCCACTGTCTTAAATGCCCGGTTCTCCGACGAATTGGGGACGTTGGGCCGGTTGTACGTAGCCTCGAGTTTCAAATTAAATTTTATTGGCCCTTGCTGAACTCTGGTATTTAATAAATTTTCAATCTCGGGCATGAGGGGTCGAAGAAAGTCGGAATAAATCGTTGTATTTCCTATATTTTTTACATAGTACCATACGATTTTACGGCTCGCAGACGACAAAATTTCTACGAACCCGGGGACCTTCACCATATCCATACGCGTCTTTTTTGCCCTAGCAGCTGAGGTGGTGTTGGCAGTCGAAACACGTTTCCCGTTGACGGTAACGGTGTAAGAATCTTTTAAAAAATCTAATATTAATATCTAATGAAAATAATAAATTGACTAATCTATTAGAAATCTAATTATCCTCACGAATCTTAAAAAATCTACTGATATAACAAATGTTGACATATAATAAAAATCGTGTTGAAAAAATTAAATCTACCAAACGATCTGACAACCGGTGCAATGCCGGAATACTCCAACTATTACTCCATAGGATGCGACGTGTGAATTGATCGATATAATGCCGGAATACTCCAACTATTATACCATTGATCGCTTCACAGACCACTTGATAAGTTTAAAATAAAAAATATATAATTTATATTTAAAATGTGTTGTACGATAATTTGTTGAATTTTAAAAATCTATTTAACGACAATTATTTTTAAAAATCTAATTGGTCGAGCAATAATACTTGTCGGTATATCTTTTTAAAAATGATCCGATAAAATCAGCGGGTCTTTTAAAAATCTAATTCTTATAAATAAAACTAACCTGTATCCTCAAATTCATCCATTGCATTCATACATATTTCGTCTTCGGTTAACATGTTAGAGCCACCGGCCGGGGCATCAGGTACAAATATTTGCGGAGCAATCTGGACCTGTTGAGCTGGAGCTGGTTGAGTGGTGATTGGGGCAGCAGGTATAGGCCTCAAGTGAGGCGGAACGTTTACGATACCTTAGGAAAAATAATATAAATTAATATTGTATAAGATTACATAAAACGTATACAATTTCTATACATACCATGAATGTTCTTTAGATGTTTGCTGAGGTTGTTTTTGTATGAGAATGCCGATGGGCAAGCAGTGCACGGGAAACGTATGCCCGCATGAGTTTTTTCATGTCTAATCAAACTACGTTTTGCGGTGAAAACCGACGGACACTGTTCGCATTTAAACATGATTAAAATGTTTGAAATAAAAACGAGATGAAAAATAATATAGTGTTTAAAACACTTGCAAAAATTAAACACTTTAAAAAATTGTAAAAACTGTTGAGTAAGGACTGTGAAAACACGGAGAGAGTAAAGGCAAAGTGCGTGTAAAGGTATGGGTGTCTGGAACAGACTGACTATGTCTTGGCGGACAACGGAGCGAGTGTCCAGAAATCTCGACATTTTTGGTGAGGGTAGCATTTCAAGCCGCGGGTTACCAAAATATTAATCGGGTATTTACTATGATAAATGTGTACATCACTAGTTATTACCAATTATTTTAGAAACCATCAGTACAATTTCCAGGAATTCGCCTGTGCGTGTTGACAACAGACCGGACGAAACAGGTCGTTCCACTGACAATAGGAGATGTATACCATTTACGATTACAATAGATTTAAATCCAGCGCTTGAAGAAACCTTATAGCTACTAACATACTAGGAAATGTGACCATATGTCGATAAATATTATTTTGGAACTAAAATAATAATATTAATAATAATAAGAGTATGTGTATAAATTGTAAAAGATTATATTTTAAACAATATTACAAAAAACTTTTTTTTAACATATCACATGGGTACAAAATTCATACGTATCCATATAACGATTAAGCTCTTCATCATCTTCATATGTATCCATATGACGGTTCAACTCTTCTCCATTTCCGAAGGCTGCTCTCCAGAAAGTAGATTCTACCAAATTTCAGCTGTACTTGACCCGAAATTGATATGTCGATGATTTTCCAGAGTAGCTAATTTGTTATAATCGTACTGTATACCTAAGGAATCTAAAAATACATTTTTGTGGGCAATTTTATTTGCTTTTATTGTAATATTATTTTCTTCACATTTTAATTTTAATATCATATAAATTAAATTATTCCAATAATTCTCACTTACAGTCGGCTTGTTATGTGTTATGCTTTTTCTAGTAATTTTCTTCTTCCAGAAATCATGTCCACTATCGCAAATAATCGTATACACTTTCTCATACAACTCACGTAATAACACTTCAAAATCAAACCCTGAATATGTTGCAATATCATCTACTAACCACACTATTTCACATTTACCAAATTTACGACTTATAATTTCAAACCACTTTGAACTATTAACTAAGTGATAATTTTTACAGAAGTTACCCTTTTTTATCCTGCATTGCTTGCACATGTCCGATATAGTGCAATTTACTCCACATGTTGCTTCTAATTTCTCTCCCAACGATTTTTTTAAAACGATATGTAATATTTCATTGACTGAATAAAAAAAAAAATGTATCATACCATAATATAATATAATATAATATATTATAAAATATTCTTACATGATTGGGAATCCATTATGTAGTTAAAGACTCTTTGAATTAATTAAAAACGAAGAATAGAACTGTTTGTACTTATTAAGTAGTAGTAGTATTAAGCGAAGTATTAAAACAGAGATAATATTAATTAAAATATAGATGCTGATGTCATGACAGCTGAATACGATGTGATTTAAATTAATAATGATTTTAGTGGTATGAATAAAATTATTTTGGGGTCTAAGGTGGTATAATGATCTCATATAAGTGGGAATGATCCAATTTATCAGGGTGGGGTGTTGAAGGTATAATTCAGTTTGGAAGATATACCGTAATTCCGTTAATTACGGAGATCGAGAGTTCGAATCTCTCCAGGGCCTTTTTTCAATATTTATTTTTTCGAATAATTTAGATAATAAGTGCGCATGCGCGGAAATATGTGACGGGGATAATAATAATAATATTCATACAGCTATATACGTTAAGAATCAAAGGATTAGTATATCCGGTGTGTGGCCTAGTGGGTTAAAGTGTCAGTGCTATAGCTCGGGGGTCGAGGGTTCGAATCTCGCCAATCTTTTTTTCAATATTTATTTAATGAAAGAAAGTTTACAATAATATGCACGATAATATACACAATAATTCATACGACTGTTGGATAAGAGACTATGTGTTGTACGCATGCGCTGTACATTACGTCCGACGGATCAGGCGGTGGCGATGACGAGCAAGGACGGGGTGGGGTAAAATATACGTCACACACGTGACGAGTCGGGCGGCGGGCCAGCAAGGATGAGCGGATGTGCGGATGTGCGGATGTGCGGATGTGCAAGGACGAGCAAGGATGTGCGGATGTGCGGATGTGCGGATGTGGGATGTGCAAGGATGTGCGGATAGGCCTTCTGAACTCTCTTTTTCATACTACTCACATAACAAGGGATAATGTCAGTAAAGAAAAGTGGAAATGGATTTTCAACAACTCAACTACTATACAGATAATCGTAATCAAACTTATAAGATAACGAAAATCGCGTTCATATAGGTTAGTGTACGAGTGCACATGTTCTTGCAGCTCAAATGTATGGGACTATGTGGCTACTACAAATATCAATGGTATACACTATATAAACAATAAGTGTTGCGCTTGATAACTTATCATATAACACAATCAGTAAACGCATCTAACCTACCCAAGCGAAATAGAGAATTTTAGTTGTTAAGGTGATTTAAAATGACGCCATTGAAACAGAACATATTGTACATATTAGTTAAATTATGCGGCAAAACGTAATGTTTGCGTAATGTAAGCCAAACAATATTTTAATAAAAAATGTGAGGATTGCGTACTGTGAACTTGCCTGAAAAAAAAATATTTATAAAATTATATAACTATCAGTAAAATATATATTATGGTTATTTTTATAATATTATATTTTTCAATCATTCTGTGTAGGAAGCAAGCCATATCTATCAGGTAACGCTTCATAACGTTTAAAATTATAAAAAGTTTAAACGCTTAATTTGAATAACGTTTAAATTCTTTATAACGTTAAACAGTCATTCGATCATAACGTTCAATATCCATATAACGGTAAACGGTATTATTATTTTGGATTTAAGCCATGATTTATAGAGCTATTGTTCACACGCTATGCAGTAGTCAATGCATAAACAAAATAGATTAAAATTGAACCGATGTTTTGTAGTTGTGAAGGGAATTTTTTAATTATGAAATTTCATGAGATCCTATCCCGACAACTTGAATAAAGACGACAGGTAAATAATACACGTCACATATATCATTAATGCAAACAATTTAACAATTATTATATTTTTTTATCTTATAGCTCATGCAGGGCCGAAGAAAGAACCAGTTGCGCCCCTGGCAGAAAACCAAATTTGGGCCCCCCCCAACATACAATTTTTTTTCAACTACCATGCTCATTATAAAAAAAAAAAACTCTCTGTTGATTGTAGCACAAGTACATTATATTTATTTAATAACAGACTAAAACAAAAATTCTATTATTTTATCAAATATAAAAATGTTTACCTTATTAAATATTGATTATCATATTGATTTAACAATAACTTTTTTAAATTAAACTTTTCCTGCCTTTATTGCTGCAAAGTCATCTATAACATAATCAAATGATAATTGGTCAACCAAACTTTTTTCAATAGACAAAATTGCCATACTTGTTAGACAATTTTGGTTCATCATAAATCTTAAATAGTTTTTTATGATCTTCAGTTTACTGAAGCTTCTTTCACAAGTGGCTGTGGTGACTGGAACAATTAAAAATAAAAAAAAACGCCACTTCAAGATTATTATAGAATTCTTGGAGTGTATAGTGATGTATACATTTTAGTAAATCTAGCTGAGTTGCAGACTGAAATGAACACATTATTTTAGATGCTTGAAATTTAATTTTTTAAATTTCTAAAAATAATTCAGGACATGTTACATATTGCATGTCAAGGTACGGTCGGAGGGGCAGTGATATAAATAAATACCCTAGCGTAGTTTTCATTATTATGAGATTACGCGAAGAAAAACGTATTGCGATAAGGTTAAAAATAAAAGGTAGATTTAAATTTTTTTTTTTTTGTAAATTATCATATTTCAGTTGAGACTGCCCCACTCGATGAAATTGCGCCTTTCGTATAATTGCGCCTCTGGCAAATGCCCTCTTGTCAGTGCCTAGCTACGGCCCTGAGCTTATGTATATAATATACACACTATATCTTGGTTTCTATTATATGTTTAGTGGCACTTGCTACTGTTGTTCTAACTATGTATGGAGCCACAAACGAAGACTAAACAATATTGCCATCCAAGTAAATTAAATTTCTTGTACTCGTTTAATTAGATCCCAAAATCAAGAAAACGTTATGTAACAAACTTTTTTTGAAGTCTAGGCTCCCTCAACACTATACAATGATTATTTTGTTTATAAATATATCATCTTCTTAAAGAAAATAATATTTAATAAGCTTTAACTTATATTAAAAAATTAAAAAAATGTATTTCAAATTTAGTATGTTATCATTCAACAGTCAAATCATTATACCTTTTGACGATATATTTTTATCCTTAATATTAAAAAAAATGTGGGCAAGTGGGTGTCGCTCTGCTGTACAGTAGGTTACAAGTGGGTAACTGTATAATGGATGATATTAAATTTGAATTCAACGATATATTATCATTGTATAAGAAAAGCGATTCTGAGCGGAGACGGTATATCAGTCTAGGTATAAGACATATTATGATATGGTATTATCTATGGTATTAAACAAAAAATTGACCTATAATAGGTACCTATAATAAATTCCAAATTAATTATATCACAATATCCATTAGGTACTTATAACGCGTTATACATCAACAAAACCGTGATACTATCATAGATATATAATAATATACTTTAGAAGTTTCAAGTACCCACGAATAATATTATTCAATCACAACAAAAAAACTAAAATAGTTATTTTAGGTTTTTTATTATGTAATTTCGTCCAAATTTGAATTTAAAATGTCTGTAAAAAATAACTGTGTTAATATATTTTTTGGATTTTTTGGTTACAACTTACAGTATGAACTATTTATGAGAACCTTCGTTTTAAATTTTCAATCCTTAGCTATAAAAACTGAACATTTTAT